TGCTCCGTCCCGGCTTTGTAGGGATGCGAGGTCAATGGTCTAACGACTACGGCATGCACGACTATGAGTACCCCCCCCCCCCCCCCCCCCCCTCTCTCTCGCAGGACGCTTCCACTAGAGCCGGCGAACCTTTTCGACACGATACAGCTAGTACTCCTTTCAAGCGGCGTTGTACATCCCACCAAAAAGGTGCGCCAAGTAGCAATCCAGCACCCTCTGCTTAGTGGTACGTCATGTACATTTATGTACAGTAGTCCGCACCTCTGCCCCGAAGCCGTCGTGTCTGCTCTTGAGCATCGCTTCCTTGGAAGAAGTTGCCTCGGAGTTGCGTTGCCTACAGCGTGAAAGGTGTCGTTTCGAACGTGGCAACGAACAGACACGTGCGTCTTGCTGAACTAGAAACTAGAGTCAAAGTTCTGCAGTAGAGAAGGAGTCGACGGGACGCACGCTTATATTCTGGTAGCAGATGAGAAATATCGCCATACGACCGTCCTCATATTCCCACGCTCTACCGGGACAATTCCAATATGCGTTCAGGAACCGTATCATACGTGATTGACAAGGTCATCGGGTTGTTCATTGTACCAAACACGAAGCAAACACGAAGTACCAGCGTCGCGATTCCAGTGCTGACAAGTGCCAGGGACGTGCTCGTTTCCGTCGGTGAACGCGCGCTGAAGGGCGCGGCTTTGCGAATGAACCTCGTGGCACAAACCGCACCGACAATGGCAAAAACTACGTGGTGGAGTGTTTTCCTCTAAAAACAAAGTTTCCATGCGCACGCGCTTCTGCTAGTAGTCCAACCGACAATCTGAAAACATGGCCTCGAGTTTGAGGTGTGGACAAGGTGAAGAGAGAGGATATCTGTAACAACGTCCATGGCTTGCGGAAACCTCCTGTACGAAGAAGTACTTGAGTATGTACGTAGTGACAATGTATTGCATTCTGTTGTTTTTCGCAGCCCTACTTGACTGGACGACCAGAGCTGCCTCAAAACAAATCAGGCAACCGCTGTACATCCAAGAGACAAGCTGCAGTCCCCTTGACTCAGCGACGTCTATTGTTGGATGTAAGCGTCTCCCTCGTATTGGCCATGCAACCTGTCACCGCTTACTACACAATTTTCCGGACCGTGCGGTCCGGCCTTCGTTTCAATCTGTGGGACAAAACAAGAGTGGCGTACCCCTAAACTCAAGCAATATAGTTGCATTCCACGGTAACGCGAAACAAACACTGTGGCACAACCAATACATGTCTTCTTTTCCTGGTACGGTATAAAAATAGGGTTTTCCCCTCACCCGTATCGTATCCCGTCAAATCTGGCAAGGTTTGCCGACGCCTCCGACAGGGCGGTTACGTAGTACGCGGCGCATTGCTCCGGGAGGGACGGGAGGGATACCTCGGTCACATCTGCACCGAGGGACGCCATCGTCTGAAGTCGTAACCGCAAGGAGATTGGAAAAAGAAAGAGAGCGCACAGAAGACAGAGGAACGGATGGGGGAGGAGACAGTGAGAGAGAAAGAGGGAGAAAGAGGGGGGGAAAGGGTTAGGGTGCCGACAAGTTGGGAGGCATGGAGGAAAGAACTGAGAAGGGGATCAACATGACTGATACGACTGAACCAGACACATTCCTCTGTTCATCACTTTCCACTCATCGGCTTCGCCGTACAGCGGACGCACGCCAACGCACGCTGGCTTCGAAGCCACTTGAGCCATGCGCGCACAGACAACCAACAACCCAGAGGGCCAGCATAAACAAATGCAAAGCTCTTCGCTAGTGATACTTCAAGCACGAGTGTCATCGTCATTCTAGGTTCGCACTATTGTCCAAAGGTGCAAAGGCGTTACACAATCGTGGTGTGTCCTACTGCACATCCATCTATCATGGGACACAGCGTGGGGTGGAAGGAGCAAAGAAGACCCCAAGATCACTTTCAAGACGCACACAAGGTTCCTGCATATAGCGATAGACGCGTAAAGCCATGAGACGTGGATCGTCGGTAAGCAAAGCTTTGCGGGAACACAGGCAACATATTCACGCTCGAAGGTTTTGGTCAAGACCCAGAAACCTCTCTCTGAGTCGATCCGTTTGAGCTTCTTCCCATTTGGCATCATTGCTTCCTGGTATGCACCACATGGCGCGAGGTATTTCCGATACCCAGAATAACCTCTGCTGAGTACACGCACTTCACAAAATCGAAAACAATTACAAGAAAAAAAAATGTGCAATCATCCTTTCAAGGGCTTACGTCGATGGCCTCTTTCACAGCTGCGGCAACGTCCGGCTGGACTCGCTCCACTAGCGCCTCCCGAATCACCCCCATCTGCGCGCCACCCGACAAAAGGAAAATGAGTAACACAAGTAGTACATGAGGGATGGTAATAAAGCAATAGACTTTGGATGAGGCATGATCCCAGACTCTCGACAACAACTTGCGGCGACCCCCGTATGCAAGTATGGCAGCGGTAGAGGCATGGAACCAGACCAAGTTAAGGACCAAGACTTCACACACACATTATCCAAGATAACCGTACCCGAAACCTCATCTTGTGCATTCTAGGCATCGCATCACAGCAAGAACGGGTCCGCCCCGCATGTGCAACCTTTTCCGAACAGCGTGCAAACGGTTAAATAGACCCCGTTCCACTGACCGGATTGCCAATACGGTAACCCCCGGAAGGGGTGCAACATGCACTAATCGGATCACTGAACGCCCGAGGCGACCCTGCAGATTCGGCTGTGCATGCGTGGCAGTGGTTGCACGGTAACAGTAGCAGCATGTTCCCCCTCCGGAAGCCGATATCATTAAAACACACCTTGATTCCTTCCAATGGCCGTGAGCCACCAGACGCCGCGGACTGGCAGATCGTAACAAGTACAGATGGTGGATCGAAAAATAGAGGAAAAATCGCGTTATCGAGCAATACATAACCACTCGGTCAAATGTTGTCGCACAGAAGGATAACGATCGAACGTCGGATATACTGGACGAGATCGGTGGACTGTCGTCGTCTTTCGGAAAGAACAAACCAACAAAAGCTGATATAGAGTACATATTCGATTTGACGTTTTCCTGCTTCAAGCGAACATAACGAGTTGTTTGTTGCCACCTTGCAGGCCCGACACGAAAGTTCCACCGCACAAGCAGGGCAAGGTGAAGCGGCGGCGCAGCCATGCAACAAAAACACCAACAACAATCAGCAGCAACAAACGTCGACCATCCAAAAGGAAAAAAGTGACCCTACCTCCTTGAGCAGTGCGGTGTAGTCCGGCACAGGCTGTTGAAGGGAAGTCGAGTCTCCCGCCCTGTCCTCCCCAGCTACCGCACCCAACAGAGCGGCACAATCGGCTACTGACGACGCAATGGGGCCGATGCAGTCCGTCGAAGACGCATACGCGATCAACCCCTTCCTGCTGAGACTGTCAGCATGAGAAAAACAATGGACGGCAACGCGGCAATTCCATGTGTACAGTAGTTCCCTGAACATTGCCTGATATCCAGCCAAATCCACCCGCACTCTGGAAACCGCTGGGGGTTGAACATGACATTCTTTAAGTGTGACACGGCTTTTGATCGTTTGCTGCTGTATTGCTGTCGTAACCAACACGGGGGAAAGCATGCTGATGAGGGAAAACATTCGACCGTTGTGTGGGTCACTCCGCTAGCTGCAGACACTTGCTTGAGCCTGACGACGCCCACCAGCCAGCGTTGTGGCCACCGCTACTCTCTACTGTCGCGCCCAGTACTGCTGTGGAATCATGGTGATGAACAAAACAAATAATCTCCACTCACCGTCCGTACGTAGGTTTGAGCCCAACGACGCCGCACCAGGAAGCCGGCTGTCGCACGGAGCCCCCGGTGTCCGTACCAAGGGCCCCCGTCACAACACCCGCCGCTACTGCCGCCGCGGAGCCGCCTGCCGGTCGGGACAAGCGACGACGGTAAACAGAAGGCAGTGAACCGATACTTGGTGCGACACTGGTGCGTGCTAGTTGTCCGCACAGCCTTGACGTAGCTTCATCTGCTTTTCCGTGCAGGACGGTCTTGAGCGTAAGAGAGGACAACAGAAAGTGCAAGTTCGCGCACATAATGAAAACAACACAGCAACAGCGTTAACGGCGGCGGTTATGCCACATGGCAGAAAACAGGTGCTGTCAGCTGTGTGTCTCCACAACGATGCACCTGACGAGCCCCCGGGCGCATGGTCGATGTTCCTCGGGTTTCTCGTGACCTGGAAGGCCGACGTCTCCGTCGTCGATCCCATGCCGTACTCGTCCATGTTCGTCTTGCCAAGCTAACATCCACGGGTACAAACGAAAGCAGTATTCATGTACCGATATCAGCTACTCACTGGGTACACATTGAAGCGAGGTTAAATAGTCTGGCAACAGCGGTGATGGCCATTGACAGAAGGCCGTGGTCGCAAGGAATCATGGGGCTCAACGCTCAGCCGACGGGAAGGATATATGAATGTCGACAAAAAACAAACAACGGGAACAGACGAAAACCTGTGCGGAGGTCACCTTGAAAAAAGTTACAATCTCCCAACGTCTGTCGAGAACGATTCCCTCTTTTCACACTTGTTTGTACATGTCTCACCGCGATCCCGCCCGCTAGCTTGAGCTTGGACACGGCAGAGGCGTCGTACGAAGGTCGGTATCCTTCCAGTATCCGACTCGCCGCTGTCGTTGGAACTCCAGCGGTGCACAGGTTGTCCTTCACGCCCAAGGGCACACCGAGCAGTGGGAGCGCCAGCGTCTCTTTGCACCCTTCGGCTACCTAACGCCATCGGTTTCGGCAGGGGATGCGGAAGTTGATGCAGATTAGACTCGAATGAGTTCCGAGTGGGCGAGGGGCTGATTTGTTTTTGAAGAGTGTTCGGCCACGAAAGTGGGCACACCAGGAGAACCCTCCACATTCTACCAAAGCACGCGCACCACTCAAGGGCACGGACGAAGTTGTGAGTGCTAGGAGAAGCCAAGCTTCCAAGCTGAGCTTCAGTGGTGTGGTGCGGTGTGGTTGTGCAAGCGAGTGAACATGATGACAAGAGCTTCTAAGCGAGAGCTTCTGTGGTTGCGGTGCGGATGTGCTTTGGAGGGAGAGAACACAGGGATATTCAAAGCACTCAGCGGCCAGCACATCCACAGAGGATGTACCTAACCCCTACCTTCCGGTCTATTGACCTAGCCGTGTCCACTGCCGCGCGGCCCTGCACACTCAGAAAGGCACCCACATCTCCCTCGACCTCCTCTAGCCTTTTCAAAGCCTGGGTTACCAGCTCCTCCGAGGAGATGCGCCCGGATCGTACTGCCTCTGCTGCCTCTAGGAGAGGGGACGGCCCCGTGGTCATCGACATCGGGCACGGCACCTGGCCGGCCTTAGGAGCTCTGTCGCATTGATGGAGAAGTTTTCAAGGGGTGGGGTGAAAGCAGTTGAAGGCGGGCATCTGGGTTGGTTTGTCGTGTGCAATGTACGTGTTGGTAAGGACCGTGAACCGCAGTAGGTACTGCTGTAGTCCACAGCGATTTTAAGTGAACTCGTGTAATGAGCGAGTGAAGCGTAGACGAAGAACGAAGACTACTCCACTGGTACGTGTTCGAAGAGTATGCCATCGTGACGGGTTGGACAGGTTGATTACTCAAACCTCAGTGTCGAGTCAACGGCAATGCCGTTCAATAGAAGTCAGCTGCATTGGGGTAGCTGATATCTCAAGGACTTTACACGCCTCAATACGCTGCGCGATGGAACACCTCTCTTGCTGGTTCTACGGGTTGCTGCACGAGGCGCAAAATACCCATAAGCCGTATTGGAGAGGATTGACGTCATGTAAGCATGGCCCAAGCACTGGGGTCAGCGTAGGGTGGTCCATTCAAAACACGGAGAGTTGGCGTCACGTACACTATGAGTATCGATAGTTCTTGTGGTTTACGACTCAAGTTCAAGGTTGGTCCTACAGCAGCACAGGCGGCGGGCGACAGACTTGCTGTAAGCAACACACGCTTTTAGAATACTGCATGACAATGCCGGGAAGGCGTAAAACAGGCAGTCGACTGGACAATTACCAAAACATCTTGAATCACAACGTTAATAAGAAGACCTGGATCTCTCTACCCAGAATGGTTGACCTATCATAGACCATAGCGGCACTCCACAACGACCTGCGCCAGCGTCTGTCACGTCGCATGTTTCCCAGTGCAACAGCTGACCTTGTTCCTGCATGATTGGCCGCAAGGCGTGGGCATCTTGGTGGCAGGAAAGCCTCCGCGGGAGAAGAAGCCGCCAGCACTAGCGTGGCGGCAAGCAAGGCGGTCAGCATCGTGTTGGTGTGCACCACAGCAGTACACACTCAAACACTTCGCCGTAAGACCGTGGAGTGGAAGAGTGCTGCCTGAACGAACGGTGAGCAAAACCACGCGTTATGGTTCCGGGGGGCGGGGAGAGAGAGGGGGGTGGAGAAGTTGGGTACTTGTTGGGTAGCACAGCAGCAGCAGCACAGCAGTTGTTGCCAGGGCGGCAGGTGGGTGCTCCGATGAGCCGGATCGTCGTGGATGACCCTGCGAGCTCGTCTCTGTCCTCCTGCCTATGTGCCTTCCCAGGAGGCTTCAGCCTTCTCACCGAGCGAGGCCTTCTCCGACCATATCTCGTGTGGGACGCTGCAGCAGGAACAATGCGAGGTTCCGCCGCATCCACCGCTACGGAGGAGGAGGTGGTTGTTGTTGCAGCCGCTCCAGTTCGCCTTAGCGAGCAGTCGGGCGCTTTTCCAGCAGGAAAAGACGTCCCCGTAGACCATGCATGGTCGCATGACGGCGCCCTTGTAGTAGTATTGCGTCGGTCTGGCTATACGGCGTATTGGCGAGACCCTAAAGCAGCGGTCTCATCACGAGCACCGCACTCGTCGTGTCCACGTCCGGATAAGCTCGTTGGGGACAGCAGCAGCAAGCACGCGGCAGAGAACTGTGCGCCAAGACCGCCAAGCAGCGGTGTGCCGCCGTCACTTGGGCTGGCGGAGGTGCACACGGGCAGTAATGGTGCCGAAGGCAAGGCAGTCGCGTGCTGTAGCTTGCTGGACACGCACCCTGCGGGGGGAACAACAGCAGCAGCACCGGCGAACAGCAGCAGTAGCAGCAGCAGCAGCAGCAGCAGCAGCAGCAGTAGCAGCAGGCGGGGGACCTACTTGATCGCAGTCGGCGTCTCCTTTGGCATCGAGTGCCGCGCATTAGACATAACGAGCCAACCAGAGGAGGAGGAGTTTTACACAGAAGAAGGGAAACATGGACTGGGTGAAGGTCATGAAGCTGATGCAGGCGCGGAGAAACTATCGGCTACCTGCCGACCGCTCACGACCATCTTCCAAGGTTACCTGGTCGTAGCGCTGGCGTTCTCGCCGGACGCTTCTCTCGTGGCCGCGGCGACCATGACCGGGCACGTTAAGGTGTGGGATGTTGCTGCCTTGGTGGCGTCCCCTACACCACCACCGCCGCCCCCGCAACGGAGCAATGTCCCAACGAAGAAGGAGCCGGCGGCTGCGCGCGGGGGGCGCGGCAAGGGGAGAGGGTTTGATGAGGCGCCGCACGCGATGCGGCCGTCACCGGGACAGGAGGATCACTCGAACCTAGCTGCTCTATGGAGTGTGGCGGTGAGATGTGATGGCGTTTGGCGTTAGCAGGGTCTTTTTCTCCTGGGCACTCTCTTGTGTGTCGTGGTGTTGTGGAAGTTGGTTGGTGTATGATCTTGCAGTCATCACGCTGGTCTTGTAACCAAAACTCAGTTCGATGTAACTTCCTATGCAATGGGTGTCAACAATCGCGTGAGCACCTTTGAGTCTGTCAAGCTCCTGATGTCGCAGCCAGCATATGTGGTAACGACAAGCGCTGCAGCATGGCCCATCCCTAGCTTTTATGATGCTGACACCGGTAATTCCCATGTCTCGCCCTTTCCTCGCCGGCCTCTATAGCTACCCATGGCGCGGGTGACCTCGCTTTCGTTCTCTCCTAACGACAGCGCCACCTTCGCACTGGCTTGCTGGGACGGAAAAATGGCGCTCTTTCTTCCAGCCACTCCAGCTCAAGCCGCCGTCCTTCCCCCAAACGAAAGCCTTTGCGAAGCTTCTACTAATACAGCAACTGCAGGCGCTCCTACTAGTCCAGCAACTGCAGTCGGCGGCGGCGGCGGCGGCGGCGACAATGACACTGGCGAGGGTGTCGGCAGCAAGCGCGCGTGGAAGCAAGTATGGCGCGAGGCAGCAGCACCCGACAAGGTAGGCGGTTTCAAGGGGCGAGAGAACTTGGAGGACCAGGACGGGACATTCTTGTGCTGGTGCAAGGCCTCCAATGCCTCTACAACCGACGTCGCCGTTTCGACCTACTGCACCACGACCGGCGACTACTCGAAACGACCTTGCGGAGATTCCGACGAAGAAGAACGTGGCGGCGAGACAACGCTCCCCGCCCCTCGAAACGCCGCGAGGGAGTTCCCACTGCCCGAGCCGCCCCGCGAAGCCTACCCTCCGGCGATGGGGCCCGGGATCGAAGTGTTGGCGGAAGGGGGCCTGGGTGGGAGGATAGGCGGGGCGGTGTCCGCGTCCCGCCGGGATGGAGTGACGCGGGAACCCACCGCAGAGCGATACTTGATCCATGGGCTGGCGGCGGGGCCCGGCTTCGTGGCTCTGTACGACTCTGACCTGTGTCTACATGTCATTTCTATCGCCGCGATGATTAGCGACGCCTGCGTCTTGCCGCCGCCGACTCCTACGATCGAAACGGAAGCGTTATCTGGGCACCCGGACAACGCGTCCCCGGGTGCGGCGGCAGACGCAGAGGCGTCAACGCCGCCGCGGCCTACACGAAACGTTACCCTTGTCGACAATGATCACGGCCTGATCGCGGCCTGCGTCCGACGACATAGCGGGCCAGACAGTGCTGATGTGGCAGCCCCTCCAGAAGGTGGACTAGATCTCGCCATCACTTGGCGGGACGCCTCTTCGGGAGTCGAAACCCCCGATGATGGGGAGTGCGTCGGGCAAAGGAGAGGCGAAAACAACCGAAGGTTGTCGTTTCTGCCCGGCGAGTTGGCTGGTGATTTCGGGGGGTGTGACGACGACGAGGGGGGAGTGTTCTGCGCTGACGTTAGATGGCAGCGCTTGGCTCTCTTCACGCGTGAAACCGTCCTCGTGTACACGCGCCCTGCTCGAGAGAAGGCCGGGCGAAAAGGCCACGAGACACCGTGCGGAAATGCTCTTGGCGCCGGGGGGTGGAGAGCATACGCGGAGTACCCGATAGTGCATGGGCTTCTTCTCGGAGGTGACAAAACAGGGTCAGCCTCCCGTGGATAGGCAGCTGTACAACCGATATCATGCGAGGTTTGCCTCGGAACAATATGGCAGTGGTGGTATTAAGGGTAGAGTGATCCGTCGGTCTGCTATGGCTTCATATGCTTGGCTTGGCCATTGTACAGAAGCCCTCGTGCTATGTAGTTTACTCTTTCCCACTGATACAAATTTATGTGTGTCTGGCTGCAAGTAAAGCAGTACCTCCGGCGCGCTGCCGTGGTGATCCCTTGGCAACTTACCTTTGAGATTTAAAGGGACTAGTACATTAAAGATCCCCCCGCCCCCCGTTGTTTCGCCACCAAAGCAGGAGCGTCCACGGCGACCTACCTGTTCAAAAGCCTCCCGAAGGCCCCTGAAGATCTGACCGATATATATCTCCTCGTAGTGTTGGGGGCGAACGCAAAATCTAGTGGCGACGGCCCAGTCCTTTCGATTCGGTCCCTTCGAGATCGAAGCGTCACTTGCCGATGTCCCCTCTCGTCGTATTCGGACGACGTCGGAGAGGCTGGTGCGGTTGCAAGGCAACCGGGGACGAGGGTCTACGCATCCCCTGGCTACGGCGGAGGCGTATTTGTTGTGGCCGCGGAAGGAGGGAGCGGGGAGTGTGCCAGGATGTGGCGGGGAAGCTTCGATGAAGGTGAGTGCTCTTGTCTTCGCATGTCATTTAGCGTAACGTCTCGACGTGTAGGCTGCATGGATAACACAGGCAGCATAAGGAACTGTAGTAAATACTCTTGAGTATATATATGGGCTCGATCGCGGTCTGAGAGTCGGTCGCAAGCTTGCCGTGCGTTGCATGCACGTTCGAGCCTCGGGTTCCTCGCATGGGGCCCGTCGGTGCCTGCTTTACATCGTCATCCTTTCGCAACAACCGTCGTTCTGACCCCCTCTTTGCTGCTGCTACCGTGTCGGTGAGGTTTGACCTAAAGCTTACACTGCAGACCCGCTACTGCCTCCCCATTATTCGGTCCGCAGAAGTCATCGGCATCGATAACGCCATCTACCACAGCAATGCCGTGATTTGTGATTGTCGCCGATCGCAGGGGGCATCGATAGCACCATGTATCACCGCAGTCCCGATTTTCTGATTGTCTCTGTCTCCGACTCTGCCACGGCCAATCATGTGTTTGGGGTGGTTGCCGCCAACGACAGGTAGTTGCCGATTAAAGATGGGATCTTCGATAATCATCACGTCATATCCTTGGCCCGAGCCAGAAACGCTGCGTCTGCAAGGAGTTGCTGGACCGAATTGCGAGCTGATTTTGTTCAAGGTGTGTTTTTTCCTGCGTGCGTGTTTTGTTTTAATTGTTCCAACATAGTATCGGCCACGTTGACCAGCTGCTGGCCAATGAAATCGCTTCCTTTCGCTGCCCCCCACAGGAGGAGGGCACGGAGTTATGAAGGTTAGGGTTGGCATGCAGCATGCGGCCTTGTTTGTCGCTCGATCTGTGGTTTCGGGAAGCTTGTTCAAGTCAAACGTTTCTCGATAATTTTCAAAAGAAGCGTGCATCCTGGATTATGGAACTGCATCTTATATCCGGCACGGTTGGTTCCAAAAAGCACGTTCATCACATGCAGCACGCGTGAGTTGTACGTTTTACGGCTGGACCTACCCCCCACCCGGTAAGGTCATCTTGACATGGTACGTGGTCCAGCCACTAAGGCATGCAAAGCATGAGTACGCCCCCCCCCCAAAAAAGTACCTCACGGCGCTTAGCGCTTGGTGATGTGAGAGCCTGGTCCGGTGAGAACCTGACGTGCTCCGCCCCGGCTTTGTAGTGATGCGAGGTAAATGGTCTAACGACTACGGCATGCACGACTATGAGTACATCC